GGAGATAAGAAAACATAACGAAACTTTCTTGGGGCTGTGGGGGCCTAGGGTAGATCACTCATTCTCAGGTGTTGTTTTGTGATGAGTTAGCCTTCACAGACATAACTATTTGAGTGAGAAAAATTCTTTGAGACATAATTATTTCTGTCTCTGAGAAACTTGAACTTGGAAACTGAGAAGATGGAGCCCGGAAGATGGCATTTGTGGACAATAACTTTCATTTCTATTGTGAATGGCAGCAGAACTGGGCTGTGGGGCTGCTGACATCATTTAAAGCCCTATTTGGTGCAAGTCAGGGGTAAAGCCAGCATTACTTTTAACTTTCAAGGTACATTTTCCTTTCGTTGATGCCACTTTTAATAGGATTCTTTTATGCTTTCAATCAAAATAATCCCATCTGATAAACATGGAACAATGGGAAAGCGGTGGCCTAAGAGTCCAGCAACATGGGTTCAGGACTTAGTGTAGGTACCCTTGGGTGAGGCAGGCAACCTCCTGAGATTTAGCCCATGCCTTCCAGTAACTCAGTAAGTGTAATAATAATAATAATAATAATAAATAATCCCTGCCTACCCATTTTATAAGGCTCATTTTATTTTTATTTTTTATTTTTCTAAATTTTTTTTGGTACCAGGGATCAAACTCAGGACCTGGCTTGTGCCAGGCAGGTGTTTATTCCTCTGAGCTATTTCCTCAGCATGAGGTTCATTTGATAATTGAATATAAAAGTTTGTAGCCTCAATGGGCTTCATGGCTGTTTGTGCCTCAGAGCTGCGGTTTAAGCTCATTCATTGTTTTTCTCAGAGCTGCAGCTCCTTAAGAAGCCAGTTTGGAAAGAAAGATCAAACAAGCCTTCTTAGGTACCTAACTCTATTTATGGATATACTCCTTAAGGTTTAGGCTGGTTGATGCTAAAGGGACCCTAAAAAGAGAAGCAAGCAATATATAATCCAAGGAATAGCTTCTCAGGGCCTGGGCTCTTACCACATCCACTGTGTGTGCATTACTGCTCTGAGGCCTCGCAGACACCTGACACTCCTCTGTGAAAGGTCTTCTTTTTTGCCTTGTCACAGAGAGCAAGGAGGCACAGAGCAGGTGAGTGACTTGCTCCTGAATACAGAGCTCATAGGTGGTGAAGCTGACTCCAAAGTTATATTGATAACCACCAGATTTTGCTGCCAACTTAATACCAAACATGAAAGAGATTGCACAGAACATGAAGGAGATTGCAATTCACTGACTTACACACTGCATCCCACCCCACTGGCTGAAATAAAGAGGAAAGATCCAATCCCCTGGTTTTCTAATATTACTGAAAACTTCTTTATGAATTATTGGCTTGTGAGAGTACAATAGTTCAAGCACGAAGAGTGTTTGGACCATGATTATTTCAATAATCATGGAAAAATACACTATTTCACTCTTTCCTGTACCCAGAAGCCCCAGGAAGAAGTTGCTGGGCCACCAGCGAGGCCCACCTGCTCGATGAGAAGGTTGCACATCTCCTGGAGCAGCGCCGTGAGCCTCCCAGGAGAGCGGTAGCATGTGCATGTAGCCCAAATCAGACAGACCACATGGAGAAGGGGCTGCAGCCGGGGCTTCAGCTGGGGAAACTCTAGGCTTTCCAGGACCTCCAGGTGGCCTTGGAGTGGTAACAGGTGCGTGTAGATGTCTTGAGCCTCTTTCAGAGCTGGAAGGAAATGGAGCTTATCACCAGTCCCTGCTTAAGGAATCGTCCCCCTGCTGGAGCCCTAGTGCCTGGGGAGGAGAGGATCTGCGAAGGAGCGACTACAGCTCCTTCCTGAACTGAGAAAGCAGAGAAGCTAGTTCCAGAAAACATTCTGGCTCCTATATAGAAATATGGAAAACTAGAGATTCCTGGACAAGTAGAATAATGGTCTGGAGTGTTGTTTCTGACAACAGCGCTCTATTTGGACTTCCTCCTGGCAGTCCCAGATCTATTCTGGTGCTTGTGTGTGTGTGTGTGTGTGTGTGACCCTCTATCTGATAAAATACTTACTGATTGCTTTAGTACTGATACATCCAGGGAACAGTTTTAGAATCAGAAAGATCTCCCTACAAATGCTGGTAGAGACACTTAGCAGTAACATGACATTGAACATATTGACCACCTCTAAGCCTCACACACAGGCTGATCAGTAGGTAATTTTGAGAGTCTTTGTGAGGGGAGAATTGCAGTGCTGGACCACTGTAGGTATTGGATAAGTGGTTAGCTCTTACATGAATATTTATTAATAAAAAGTCTCATTAGAGTCCTTTATAGAAAAAAAATCATAGCACAGAATGACTTCTGGAAGAGAGCTAGCACAAGATGACGAGAGCAAAGCTCTGGGGAATTTTCAAAGACAGGAAAACCATCTCAGAAAATCATCGGTAGTGAGTACTAATATCTTCCTAACAACTTAGAGAAAAGGTGCGAGTCCATTGGGCAGAGAGAACTGGAATGGAGTATCAGAAGAGAGCAGATGGTCTTAGGTTATACTATGTGAATGAGGCACTGTATTCATCCTAAAGGAAACTCAAAACATCTCCTATTTATTAACATTTCCAATACACCAGGAAATACTTGACCCACTGGACATATACACAGTCTCAAATAGAGCTTTGTGAGACAGCTTTATAAGTGAAGACACAGAGACTTCCATAATTTGCCTAGGCTCATCTGTGAACAGACCAGTCCTGTCCAGCCAAGCAAAATGAAGATCACCCCAAATTTATATTTTGAACCTCTGGCTTCATAATTGTGAGGCTCAGGAGATAGGAGAACATTACTGTTTGTTTGCATTTGATACCCAAAATGGGTTTATGGGAAGTGGTATGTGAATTGAAAGCCAAATGTCATGATGAATTGTTTGGGGCAGTAGTTTAAAGTAGGAGGAGGGGGTATGATGGTGAGTGTCACAACTACTGAGTTGGGGCAGGGCATTTCCAAATCAACAGCCATTCTAGCAAGCATGTGCTTTGGCTTCCTATGTGCAGTGAAGGAGAAAGGCCTGGGACTGTCATACTAAAAGAAAGTTCTCTCTCTGATACCCTGTTTGGATGCATTAAAAAATCTTTTTTAGCCACACAAATAAGCACTACCTTGGCTTTCAGGAGCATAATAATTGTTGGAACACAAGAGGCTCTAGTCCAAGAAAGATGCAATCAATTTTCCCTAGAAGGCTAATTTAAAGAGAGAGACAGAGTCTCACTACCTTGCCTCAGCTGGTCTTGTACTTGTGATACCTCTTCCCTTGCTTCGTGAGTAGCTCAGCTCAGACTACAGTCATGTGTTACTATACCTGGAAACAATTTTTTTTTCTTTTTTTGGCCAGCTCAGCCCACCCCTAAGGGTGGGGCTGGCATGGCATGTGGTGCCAGGGTTTGAACCTAGGTCCACCTAAGCTTGCCTGAGCAGGTGCGTTAGACCACTGAACTATCTTGCTGTACCCACCTTTCTTTCTTTCTTTCTTTCTTTCTTTCTTTCTTTCTTTCTTTCTTTCTTTCTTTTCTTTTCTTTTCTTTTCTTTTCTTTTTTCTTCTTTGGTACTGAGGACCAACTTGTTCCCTAATGTGTAGTGATTTTTATTGTTATATTGTTAATTTTTAAAGAATATTTTCCATTGTCAATTGGTTGAATCCACAGCTATGTCCCTTGAACATAAATGACCAGCTGAAAACATAAGCAAAGTCGGTTGTACAGTGACAATGACAATGCAGTCCTTTGTGGGTGTGAGTGCCTTTTCTCGTACCATTCACCAATTTTTGTGGGGTCAAACATTTCCAGGGCTTCTAAGGTATCAGTTTGACTTCACCTAGTATTGCTTGAGAGGATGAAGAAGAGCTGACCTAGGAGATTTGCACCCCCTTGGGCTCCAAGAGCAACAGAAACGAGGCCAGGTGGGCTGCAATGCAGCTCCGGACACCGACTTCCGTCCTACACTCATCCACCCACAAACCTAGCTGCCGGGTGCTGTGTGCTGTGCTCCTTCCAAACTCCAGGCATGAGACTTCATAGTGTGATGATATTAGGTGGTGACGAGTCTTTAAGAGGTGCTTAGGCCATGGCGATTCCTCTCTAATGAGTGAGATTCAGACTATGATTCCCTGCTGCCTTCCGCTAGATTGCTCTTCTGTCCCTTCCATGGGGCTCCTCCCCTCCAGATCCTTCTGCATTTTTAATTTTGGATTTCCCGGGCTTCAAAATAGGGAGAAATGAATGTCTGTTCTTTTTAAATTACCCGGCCTGAGGCAGTTGGCAATAGCAACACAGACGGACTATGAAAGCTGGCAAGCAGGCTATACTATGCCAGCCTCGCACCTGCGGTAGCAGAGGATGAGGACTCTTTAATAAATCTCTTGTGCTCTGCTCTTTCTTCCCAACGGCATGGCTGTTTTCTGTTTTCCAAGATGTTTTATCATGCAATCAGGTACACATCGTGCAACCTAGTTCTCATAATTCCCTCCCCTTTTTAAACTTCTTTCTTTTTCACTGTTTTCCAATTCATGCTTACTACTTCTGACATACTTCTCTGCCTCTCTTTTCAGTTCATCGTGGAATCAAGAAATTACCCTGGTAGTAACTAATAAGAAAAGTGTACATAGTACATTTAGTTATGATAGAGAAAGCCAGACGCTCTGAAATTAAATTAGAAATGATAGTCAGTAAATCCCCTTTGGAATCTTTTTATTCTTAGTATATAGAGCCTGCCAAGATTTCTGATCAAGTCTCTACCTAACACCTCTAATCAAATTTTTTTTGCTTCTATCATCAGAATTGAATCACATACTTAAAGGATTTCTACTTCTAGAATAGTGTTTATTTGGCACTACTATAATGATATTTCTTTGCCAGTGTATGCTGTACTGGAGAGAACATTTTTTGAAGCTGGCTTAGGGAAACAAATCTCTCACAACTATTAATCTATATAAATAATCAGCTTCTTCATTTACTAATGTGTAAAACATATAGAGGGCACTAAAGAACTAATTCCTAATGTACTTTATGTTGTTTTCTATTTCATAACTTCAATCTTTGGGAACTTGTATATTTCCACTCCGGTATGTTTCATATCTATACAACCCGTAGTATTGCTTCCTTAATATAGTTCTCTGAACTAGTGCCCTACATAAAATTACAGTTGTCTCTTGTGATCTATGGCGGGTCAGTTTTAGGACCCTGTGTAACTACCAAAATCTGAAGAGGTGGAGGTCACTCACATAAAAGACCATAGTACTTGTATATAATACACACACACATACACACACACACACACACACACACACACACACACATCCTCCTGCATACTTTCAATCATCTCTAGGTCACCAATAATAACCTAATGTAATATACATGTTATCCATTAGTTGTTAGACTGTGTTGCTCAGGAAGTAATAACAAGAATTAAGTCTGCTCATGTCTAATAAAAGATAAACTCAATAATTTCTTTAAAAAATTAAAAATATTTGCAGCCCACATTTGGTTGAATCCATGGATGCAGAACCTGTGGACATGGAGGGATGACCGCCTATAAAATGAAAAGTTTAAGTCATTGCTAAACACAGAAATCTGGTGTCATTTGCTCAAAACAGAACCACACATCAAGACGCCTGTCCATGTGTTTCCCACAATCATGTGTCATATCAAGACCGGTAAACATTCTGTCTAGGGGACACCTGTCTCTCTGACTTGAAGAATAATCTGGGGACTGTTTCCTGTAGGATACAGTGCAGCATCTTTCAATGAAGTGGTAAACTGAGGCCTTAAGAGATATCTTGTTCCAAGCAAGTTTCATAAATCTGAGGGCCTAGAAGGGCCTAAAAGACTATTTATGCCAGCTTTGTTCGGTTTTAAGACTTATGTCTGAAATCTCTTTACAAGAACTTTTATTCCTTTAGTTAGGTGTCTTCCAAACCCTATGCCTTTGAGGAAGGTGGAATGAAAGAGGTCAGCCAATGAGCTTTGGACAAAGAATACTGCTCTCCTTAACAGAACAAATGGACTTTGATTAACTTCATAGCTTGGAATTACATGGGAGATTTATTAATTTTTTATTTTTGTAGTACTGGGAAGGGAACCCAGAACCTCCTGTATGCTAGACAAGCATCTATCACTGAGCTATAACCCCAGCCTACAAAGTCTCTATGTAAAGAAAATCTTCGAGAGAAAAAAATGTTTGAAAGTCACTACTCATATTAAGCTTAACTCACATGAAATTACAAATAGCTTTAAAGCACATTTTGCCTCATGCTACTGGAGTAGGAGGAGGAGATTTGATGGGAAAAAGAGAGAAGAAACAAAGTACAACAATGAGTGGATGGGGGCCCTGAACACATTTACCTGGTTCTAATAGACTTGGCTGGTTTTGCAGTTTTGACAAGGGCTGATCTTGTCTGGTGCTCACACAGACAAAACTTTGTTGTCCCACCTGAGTGTAGGACCAAAACATGCAGAATGGAGATAAAAAAATCACACACTATGTTCTCATGGAGCTAAGTGTGAGGAGACATGAAGACCAGAAGTAAGAAATAACAATACGCATTTACACAGCATGATGCAGCCAACAAAGCTTTTCTGTCTACACAATCCCACAAGGACACAGCGAAGTAGAGCAGGTAGGGAGTGTGCACTATAACCACAGTACGTGCTGAAGCTTAGTGAGATCATGTGAATTTTCCCAAGGACACGAAGTGAATAAACTGTAAACAGCACCATTTCATTTAGCTGCTTTCCTGCTTCTAGATTTAGTCTCCTACCATCTTGCTAGACAGTGCCAGGTTGGAAGGTCATAAGGACATGCAGGTACTGAATTTAAAGGGAAATGAATGTATCTATACACAAGAAATGTGCATCAAACATATTTGGGGCAATGTTTGTTGGGCCTTACCTGCTGTAACATCTCTAAACATGGCTTTGAATGCTGGAAAGTAGCTGCTCTGAAGCTTGTCCAGGATCCCAGCCATCCCCCTCACCTTCATCGTTCTCAGCTGATTATAAATGTACTCCAGATCCTCATTCCTGTAACATCATGGAGAAGGGTGAACCCAGGTGAACATCAGGAAGCACGAGTCACACCATACCAACTCACCTACGCATAGGCAGAGAGAAGACCTGCCTCGGGTGCTGCCACAAAAGCTGTGTTCCAACCTGAATAGCCAGGACATCTGTGCCAGGACAGGGAGGACAAAAACCTGAATTGGGAGCACAGGTTCAAAGGGGCAGCTCCAGGAAACACTGCTGTGACCATCTGGTGGCTCAACAGCTTGGCAGCTGGAGGTCATTAGCTCGTGCAGGAAGACTGGGGCTGGGTGAGAGAAATGTCGTTAGAGCAGAGCTGCTTGAGAAGGGCCCCACTATAGGTTAGCAAAATGGCCAGAAATCATGCAAGAGGATGGGAATCTCAGCATGGCAGGGTGAACAGGGCTACAGCCCTGAGGGTGGTCTAGCCATGTGATGCAATACAATCTATTCAATGTGAGGATGGGGACATCTGCCTCCAACATCTGTCTGTCCCCTTTTGGGTAAAGGCTATATCAGGACAATGATAAATAGGAGCAAAAGATAGGGAGCATGAATGTGCAGGAACAATAATCAAGCATTTATGGTCAAGTAATTCAGGGTCACAGGGATACAGAGATTTCCAGCCTTGGTAATGATGAGCTGGGACCAAGGAGAGGCCTCTTCTGCAGTGCCTCCAAAAGCCCTTCTTTTTTCAGATCTTTACAAAAGGTATGTGCATCTCAACTCAACTGTCCAAGAAGTAAGGAGTCAAAATTAGAAGAAAAAATATGAGAGTAGATGAATTTCTCAGGTAGTTGAAAGAGCCTTTGATGAAACATCAGAAGAT